TTTAATATAATTTAACCAAGTTTTACTTTTACCATTTAGACGTCTGTCTAAACTCTTGATTTTGTCCAGCAACCTTAGCCTCAGTACAATTTCATATGATGGTTGAAAACTTTCATCATAGTTAATAAATCGTGCACAGAGGCCGACAACGTTTTCAGATAATAGCTAATATCGATCTTTTTATCTAATCGTCTTACTACTTCTGAATACTCCATTTTATCGCCCACTCTCTGACCAGAGACGCTTAGGCATGATGAATTATTCTCAACTACAATATACTCAAAGCATTCGTCTGATTCTGGGATTTCATAAAGATAAGGCTCAGGTGTTAAGCCCTTTTTTATGTGTCGTTTGGCACCTGCTTTTTCATGAATATGTTTATCTCACATTCGTGAAATGAAACGCTGGATACTCTTATTATTTTTATCGGGCTTTCACATAGCAGTTTTAATCATCCCATTAAGATCTATCTGTGAAATATCCTTTATGATCTCTTTGAGCATGTCTTTTACAATCTGATATAAGGTACGTGAATTATCCACCTTCATAGATTCATTCATGACCTTCTTACCCACCTCACGAAAGTGTTTAGACTGCTTCCGCTTTACAATTTCAACCCCTTAAATGAAAAGCTTATTGTTAAAGTTAGGCTCTCTTCTATGTGGGATGCTATAGTATTTTTTCTTTCCAGTAAATACTACTGGAAATAAGACTTCCTCATACGCCATTTTGAGATAAGATGATCCATTATCATTTCTGAGAAAGTCATTAACTTCATCACGAAGTCTTTTTATTACTTCTATAGAGATATTTACTATTCTAGACCAATATTCGTCTTTCGAGATCCCATTACGATTGTCATATGTCTCATCACATTTCTGAAAGCATTCTTCTGGACAGATAAGGTATAAGGAATCTGTATCCCAATACTTTACACTAAACCTTTTACTTCTAACAAGATCAGCAATAAGCTTGATATTTCGCTGACCAACTGATGTTATCCCGCCTGCTAATGCTCGCAAGAAGAAAGAGACTCGCTATTTCCAGCTTCACCATAAAATGTATTCATATACACTTTAAAGCGAGTGATTTTGCGTCTAGACAGGCGTCAATAAAGGAAACTGAAGAATATTCAGATTTTAAAGCATCTGTAACGTTCTCGCCCTTGCTTCTACTAAACTAATTTCCTTTTCTAATTCTTTTTTTCTATCATTTAATAGAGTAAGACGTCTTTTTAGAGAATTTCGTTTAATAAGCAACTCCTCTAATACTTTTGGATAAAGGCCTTTCATTTCAGCTTAGTTTTTATGCTCTATAGACCATGCGAGAATATCCCGACCATTATATTTGAAATTAATTTCATGAAGCCTTTACCACTTTCTTTTAGAGATTCAGCATACTCTCGAAATAAAATGATTTTATCAGATGAGAAATTATATGTCATGATAAGGCTTGGATATAATGATGCAAAGTCTAAACCAGTTACGGGTCATTTATTTTTGAGACCCTTTACGGGTGGGAAAACATAGGCTCCAGGGTATTTTCCTGTTTCTGTTTGTTCACATGGAATTGTACTGGTTAAAATTCCTTTCTGCTACGCACCGGCACTTAAAAGATTACGCACTTTCATTCCTATTGCAAAATAATGCGTATCGAATAATGATATAAATGCTATACTCGTAATCTCCCTATATTCATTGATTACATTACGCTTGACCATTAACTACTGACAGCTAAGAGTATCGATAATGCCATATTTGGCCACTTCACGCATCTGCTCAACCGTTGTAGCATTAGTTTCTTTTAATGCCTTTCATAATATTTGTTCATACAATGAATATGTTTATTTACTTTGTTGTCAAGATTACATTCCCTTAAGTAATATGAGAGACTACTTTTTTCAGCTTTAGGGTAAAATTTCTTAAAACAGGGTCAGACATCAATAGCCACGCATTCAGGAATTTTAAGATGTCTCGAATAGAAGTTTCCATCATTTACTTTTATCATGTTATATTAATATTACCATTTTGTAATCTTTTCGAGGCTCATAGGTTTTAGTGACATATGATTGAACATCCATTTGAGAATGCCTAACTTTTTCGCCTTCTCCACAATAAATAGCTAGTCATATTGTGAATCATTAAAACCTATATGTATATCTAAAGCTAAACATTTCTAACATAATGCAAATGCTTTCAGTAAATTGGTTTGGTTCTCACATACAACTGTGATCAAGTATGAGTCTGGCGCAGTTTCAACATCAACAAGACAGATTTGTTTTAACAGTTCAGGATTATCTTTCCAATGAACAGTCATACAAATCATGAACACAACGTCTTCTTCGTATTTTGCATTAGGCATCTCATCTGTTTTTCGTGAGCTATATATTTCGATATCCCATGTGAGAATGAGAGTGTGATCCTGTGAAAGTGCTGAAGAAAATAATGGATTATTATAATCGTCTTCACTGATTGGATTGTAATTGTTCACAGATACTTAGAAGGAATAAATATTTGCCGATGAATTTCCTTGTATTTGTATGAATAGTTATTTAGTACCACTCAGCTTGAAAGAGGTAATCTTTTTTCACTGGCTACTTTGCGATAATAATATGTAGGATTTAGGTCATCAGAAGTGGTGTTAATACCAACTTCATGAACTATTTTTAATGTTTTATATCGATTAAAATGATTCCAAGTAGTAATACGTATATATGGTTTCTTTTCTGTATAATATCCTTGAAGTGAAAAAGCATTAATATGCTCAATTCTGAATTTTAATGTGCCTTTTAGGGTATTAGACAGTATATTTACTAATCTGGTCTTAAATGTAGGTAATGATGTCTCTTCAGATACTACGACATCAAATAAAGGTTTAATGCCCATAATATTCACAATAGTCTTTTGCCCATTAATCAAGTAACCACTAATACGCAAAATATAGGTGGATACTCCATTAATGTGTTCAGTCTCATCACTTACAGCAGTAGGCATAAAGTGTATGGGTTGCTTATTAGATAAGCATTGCTAAAGTATAGCGGTCATCCCATTATCAAATTCTGCCACAATATCATTACATGATGGAATATCAGCTACAGACTTAGTGCCGTCATAACGGGCGAGCATTAGGTCAGATCCAGTATAATCAGTTTGGTCAGAAATAATTGGTGTATACATGTTATCAGTTTGAAAAGAATTATATAACTTTATATAAATCAGAAATGTTTGATTATTTTTTTTTGATGGTTGTAAAATAGATGTATAATAAGATGGTAAAAAAAATGGGAATATACATGTTCTTAATAGGCAAATATAAGGGTAGGTAAATGCGTAATCTATTATATAAATATTGGCACTTACCTACCCTATCACTAGTATGTAGTCAGATGTGACATGAAGCGTTCTGCAGAATTATATTATATAAAAATGACAGAAGGCTTCATCTGAACTTAGTAAGCAAATCGTAAATAAACATATTCTTAATAGGTGATACTTAGGGTAGCCTTCTCCATAATCATTATATAAATATTAGAAGAGGTTATCCTATCACTAGTATGTATCCTAATAGGTGATATTTAGGGTATTCTTCTACGTAATTTATTATATAAATATTAGCAGAAGAATACCCTAATACTAGTATATACCAGATGTGGCAAGTTCCTTGCAAACAACTCAGATGCAAGGAATGGACTAGAAGCAGATATGGATTTTGTGATCCACATGCAAAAAAAATTAGAGCAAATGAATAATACTATTAGAGAAGGCTGGCGCATTTATTTTTTCATCCTTCGAAAAAGAGATATATAGCAAACTAGTAAGCAAATCGTAAAAGGGAGACAAGTAGATATGTATCTGAAAGTGGAACCTTCTTCGTAATCTATATATAAAAAATTGGAAAAAGGCTTCATCTTTCTAGATATGTATTCAGCTACGGTATAGTCTTCATGTAAGACTTATTCGCTTAATTTCGGCCAACACTATTCCACAATTTCAACCAGAACTTTGAATATAATATTTTGACACCCAAGACTGGTGAACTAATAGAAAATCTAGCTCCCTGCCAGTTTCATAACAGTTCCAGAAGAATTTCATGATACTACCAGGATGCCATCACGACGCCATCACGATACCAAATTGGATCCTTAAATCACATACCCAAAAGATCAGCCAGAGTTATAGCATAAAGCTGGCAAAAATTAATCACAAATTCACTGCGCCACCTGTCGCCTCTTTTTTTACACTATTTCAATATTTTAAAGGACAACCAAATAGACGCAAAAAAGAAGCATCCTCGATATCTTAACAGGCTACCAAACAGGCCCAGAAGCAGAAAAACAAGCGAATAGCTCTTTAGAAATAAAAAGAGTGCAAAGCATTGTAAACACATGAATAGTTTTTTGATAATAAAAAGAGGACAGAGCAATAAAATCATGCGGATAGCTACAAGGTAACAAAAAGACCACAGAACAATAAAAACAAGCGGATAGCTACAAAGCAATAAAAAGACCACAGAGTATCAAAATCACATAAATAAGTAACAGTATACTCAAAATAGGTAACAATTTAATGCAAGTAGGTAACAATTTACTCATAATCAGGTTGCAATATATATATGCAACCTAATTATGAGTAAATTGTTACCTACTTTATTCCAATTTAAAGATGATACTGTAATTAAGAAGTTGTAACTCAGTAAATTAAACTCCTTATAAAATTTATTTTAATATAAAAATTTATAAATAGTTATAACTCAAAGAGTTGCAACTAGTTAAAATTTTAAAATTAATTACAATTCTAACTTTATTCTAATCAGATAATACAAAATTGTTTAATTAGAATAATCAAAGTATTATTTCAAAGGAATAATATATTATTATTTGATAAGAATGATAAAATCATTCAAATTAAATGATTTAACATTATTTAATCAGATAATACAAAATCATCTGATTGAAATGATCAAATTATCATCCTTTTAGGATAATATATTATTATTTGATAAGAATATTAAAAATTGTTCAAATCAAATGATTTCAATATTTTATTATTTCTAATTAGATGATACAAAATTATTTAATTAAATAATCAAATCATTGTCTCTATAAGATAATATACTATCATTTGATAAGGACAATAAAAATCATTCAAATTAAATGATTGGAATGATCAAATTATTATTCTTAAAAGATGATACAAATTATTTAATAGGAATAATGAAAAGAATCATTTCTATTGAATAATATAAAACTATCTAATTAGCTAGAATAATATTTGAATAATAACTAAATTTTGGATCAATCAAAATTTTCTATTTAGTTTACAATATAAAACTGATAAATTTTCAGATTAATTTGAAAAAAAAAATTTTAGAAATATTCTTATCTTAAAAGATTTTACTATTTTTTTTCTTTGTTTTTTTAGGAAAATTCTTATTTTGAAAATAAGATAAGTCATTCAAAAGTGACTTTTTAAAAAAATTCTCATTTTAAAAATAAACAAAAGTGGATTTTTAGATGGATTTTTCTTTCTTTTCTTTTTTTTTAGAAAAATTCTCATTTTGGAATTAAGATAAGTAAACTTTTAGAAGATTAATATTTTTTCTTAAAAAAATTTTCTTATTAAAACTAATGTTAGCTTTTTGGTGATTTTATAATAACTTTTAATATTTTTCCTTTATTTTCTTTATATTTTTTAGAAAAATTATCTTTTTAAAACTAAGGTAAGCTTTTTAAAAGCTTTTATATAGTTTTTAATTCTTTTTCTTTATTTTTTTTTGCTTTTTTTAGGAATACATTAAGATAAGTAAATCAAAGTTGATTTTTTGGTATTTTTTAACTATTTTCTTTATTTTTTTATTTAAGTTCTTTAGAAATACATTAAGATAAGTAAATCAAAGGTGATTTTTGAATGAAAATTTATTATTTTTCGATATTTTTTAGAAAATTATCATCTTAGTAAATAAATCAAAGATGATTTTTTGAGTGAAAATTACAATTTTTCTTTTTTTTTATTTTTTTTAGGAAAATTATATTTAAAATTAAGTTAAGTAATTTTTGTGTAGATTTTTTAACTTTTTTCTTTATTTTTCTTTATATTCTTTAGGGATACATAATAATTAATCAATTAAAGGTGATGATTTTTAAGATAAAATTTTTAACTTATTCCTTTATTTTACTTTTTTTTTATAAATATATCTTATATAAGTTAATTTAAGATGAATTTTTGAAGTAGATTTTTTTAATTATTCTTATTTTTTTAAAAAATCAAATTTAATAATTATGTAAAAATAATAAAATAATACAATTAATAAAATTTAAATAAATATAAATTTGTTATTGTTAGTTCTGATTTGCATAAATTAGTTATTAATCATCTATCAATCATCTATTTGAATTTTAGCTGATTTGAACCTATTTTAACTAGTGAAAAATGCTAATAACTTTATAAATACTTATAGTTTTATAAATAAATTTTATGCTAATATACTTTAATAATTATTTTAAATATATAAGTTTTATTTTAAAAAAATATTGTAATAGAAAATATAATAAAGAGAGAAAATAATATCAATAAACAAATAAATTAACATGTCTAATTATTGGTTTTAAGCCAATTTAAATGCTTAAATATGATTGGTTTATCAGAAGGATTATTATGTAATATTGGTTACCAATTACATTTTAATAATATTAAAACTTTAATATATAATTATAATTTAAAATTAATTGAATTGGTTTAATTTTATAATATTATAAATAGTTGCTATTAAATTTATACTATAATTATATAATATAATTTTTTTCTTTTTTGTATTTTAAAATCTATATAAAACTTATTTTAATAAAATAAAATATTATAATATTATATATAAATAATAAAAATAATATTTTTTATATTTTTTTTTATTTATTATATTACTTTTATATGTTATTAATAACTTATCAATAAAAAAAAGTTTCTAAATTTCAAACTAATTTATTAGATAATTATGATTTTTTATAATTAGTAAACAATAATAAATATATACATACTTTTTATAAAAAAGTTAGAAAATATATAAATTATTAAATTTAAAGTTTATTTAATTTTATAATTGAAATATAATAGTTAGGAAGAATACTGTATGTATAAATATGATTAATATATAGATTATAAAGGTAAATAATAAAAACCATTTAATATTTGTTAACTTAAAAATAAAAATAATTTATATTTATTTCTAATTAATAAATAAAATCACTCTCACTTTTATAGAACTGAATTTTTATAATATAAATAAAATTAATAGAATAACTTAAAATAAGGAAAATAATTATAGTGTATGTTATTTAAAATATTTTATAAAACAAATGTTCAAATTTT